AAGGATGAAGGTTACACATTGCACATCAGTGAGGAAACCTCTCCCTCTTCTCCTCACACCATACCTCCCCTTAGCTGCTTGCCTAAAATCCCTCTCTAGTGGGGTTCCAGTACTAGTATTGAGCTGTGTTAGGAGAAAATTACCTAAACATGTAGAGCATGAGGTGATAAGGTGGGTTCTCTATGTGCGCTTTTAAAATAGTCAAGAAAAATCCTAGCCCTGTTTTATGTCAGATTGGGACAGATATTTGAGTGGTCATGACTACCTGATACTGTCAATTGAACATGGGGAATACAGCAGGGAACTGGAATGTCTGTAGGTGGAAGGACACTATTCTGAATGCCAGAATGCCACAGCCTTGAATGTAGAGGCACTGAGTGGGGCTGTCATGGCCAGGGCGGCTTATTTTATATTGTATGTTTGTATTTTATTCTAATGTTTATATTTTTAATTTATGATTATTATTATTTAATTTATTGTTGTAAGCCGCCCCGAGGCTTCGGCGAATGGGGCGGCATAAAAATGGTTTAATAAATAAAATAAATAAATAAATTTTGGAGGGCACCATTCCTAGGGTGGCCATACGTCAGCGATGACTTAACAGCACAAAACAATGGAAACAACCAGAAGAAGTGTATGCAGGTAACTGTGATCCTTTGTGTAGGTTCACAATGACTGTCCTTGGGGTAGAACACCCAGCTCTGCCTGAGGTCTGCTCTTCTGTGACTTGAAATCAGAGGCAGGAGGCAGGCAGGCAGGGCCACCTGGGCATCTGTGATGCTGTGATCTGCTGCACGCATTTGAATTGAGTGCCGTCACTCGATGAGGCCAGCAGTGTCAGGACAAGAGAATTATGCAGAAGGAGGTGAAGGGAGGAGCAAGTATTCTGGGACTCGGCTATACCAGCCACTCCATCCTTTGGCAGAAGGCTGAAGTCATGTGCAACTTTCCCAAGCTTTATTTTTCCCCTCTTCCCTTTCCTGGGAGCTTTCTCTGGTCAGTCACTGGCTTTCTGAGGGCCTCGTGGTAGAACAACACATTTAGCAAATTAAGAGGAACTCAGAGGAATGGACCAAGGGAAAACCCTCTTAGGTGAGCCAGGAAATGGATGTCATGGGACCAGCTGGCAGCTAGGACTGAAAAACTCAGAACCAAAGGACAAACCAGGTTGCTACATTGCAAAGCCAGCCAGTAGCCTGGACTGAAGAGGATGGCAAAGCAAGGGTAGGGAATCTCCTCTTCCAGAATCCATGAACTTCCCCTCATCCTCGGCCCAGTCTTGCAAAGCAGCCTGAGCCAAGAGGAAGTCGACAAATGCTCATGGGCCTTGCACAGATGGCGACCTTCCCCATCAGAAGTGGTTGTGTGGTGTGGAAAAGGGGAGCTGTAAGCAGGTGTGCCAGCTGCCATTCCTGGCAATCAACCTTTGCCCCCACTCACTGCTGTTCTAAAAATACAGCAATGCCAGCAAATGAGCTCAAGGAGAGCAAAGTGTCTCGGGCAGTTAGCAGGTGGACTGAGGTGTTCTCCTCTGACACTCTGATAGCTCAGCCCCAAGGTGCTCTATGAGGAGGGTTGTCTCCACCTCACTTCATCCCATGGTGACGACTTCTGGAGGATTCAGGAATGCCATGAGGCTGCCTAGGCAGATGACTTTGGCCTGAGATTCAGAGGGAGGTCATCCTAGTCAGCTTCTGAGAGTTTGGGGAACTGGGCCACCACGACATGCAACCTTTCCTGACAGCACCAATCCAATCCATTCTACAGTGCTCACCCATTTGATTGTCTGGCATTCCACAGCAGCACCTGCAAGCCTTCCTCTTTGGAGATCCATTTGGTGGATTGGGAGGAAGCCTTTGATTCCTCCTTTGATGCTTCCCTAGGAGCTAGGAATGGAGGAATAGGCCAGTCTCTCTTTTCCTATATCCACATTATTAAAATTTCAAGTTTTTTCTCTCCCAATTATGAAAAACTAGAAATAAAGCCATTGCCAGTTCTACACTGGGCAAATCCGAGATGTCCAAGTACTCCCAGCATGGAGATGGCTATGATGCACCTGCCTGCACAGAACTGTTAATGTGGAGGAGTTTGGTTTTCTTTTTCTCCTGACATACAGCTGACAACTCTAAGGAAACAGGGACATGGCTGAAAATACAGAGATCCAAACAGAACTGAAGCAAAATGCCCCCCCCCCCCTGCCCCCCGGGCCTGAGCCCAGATGGGCAGCAAAGGCTATAGCCTGATGGAGAGACAGTAGAAGAAGCAGTCAGTCCTGTAGCATATTCCTCTTCTCACCTCACTGGGTGGATGGATTTCATGGTTAGATTTCAGCAATAAAGTCTTACTTGATTTATGTTCTTATTACACCAGGTTGTTTATTTTAGCTGACCAGATGGCATGTTGCCAAGGCTGTTAACACAGCCAGAGATGACATGGAATGCTTTTTTCAGACTAGCCGAACAGTTCATCTGAGGCTCAGCCGTGTTACCTGGGGGAAGAAAGCAGTCACCTGGCAAGCTGGGCTTCTGCAGGGTCTGCCATACTGGTTTCAAGCACTTCATCTTGCATTTGGTGTTGCCTGATAAAGAGGCAGCTGTGTGAGTTCTGCTGCTGAAAAATTGATCCAGCTCAGTGCCACTGTGGGGGTGTGTGAGGATTAAAGTGCTCCTACTCCACAGGTTCAGGTTTCAGACCTGATCAGCTTCTCTGCACTGGCAGTTTTTTTCTTTTTCTTTTAAAGCACAGCTGCTAACTATGTCTTTAAAGCACTGGCTGCATTGGTCTTCTGTTATGACTTCTCAAGAAGTTCGGTTCTATCACTGGTGACCTGAACTGAGTTAACCGCTTTTTGTCCCACTGTGTGTGTGCATCGACTTCTGAGTACTGGGATCATTGTTTTACCAGCAATAGGGCATTGTGAATAGTCTAATAAATTGAATAATTTATGTGAACAATTCTACATACATTTAGCTTCAGGATCAGTATCCGCTTTAGTTTTGTGTATTGCATTTTCTTCTGACCTTGCTGCTTACTCCACCCCGCCCCTCCGCCAAAACAAAAAACAGAAAACAAAACAAAATGCTGCATGTCACACACCTGCCAATTTTAGGTAGCACTTCATGCATCATGTTTCGTTGTTGATATTTAAAAAGTGATCTTAACTGTATTGAAAGATTTAGTCTTTTAATCTTTTTGAATGTATTGTTACATGGTTTTGTAAGGAAAACTGCTTAGGATTTTCATATATTAACACAATCCATAGCACAATTCTATGGCTGTTAGACAGTGTCTAAATGGGCCAAGATCATTGACTTTGGAGAAGGGGTGCAGAGGGTTTCTGGGGGTGGAAAGGGGAGGAGATCCGTGTCACTAAGTAAGATATGATAGTACCTCCTTCCTTCAGCTTCCTTACTTTCCCATTCCAAAGTGCTGCATTTAGCTAAAATCAGCTAACTAAATGCCTTTCAGGGAGGATGGAGTGCAGAGATGCCCTTCATCTCCCTGTTCCCAGTGCCCCCTCCCCCAGACCCCTATAATCCTTCCAATTCAAATGTTTACAATGGGTACAATCCGTAAAGCTTACGCCATAACAAATTCATTAGTCCTAAAGACGTCACAAGACTCTGTTATTGTTGACATCTTGATCTCTCTTCTTGAAGATATCAACAAACACTCAAAGGGTTGTGTAGCACTGACATACTTTTGATACTATAAAGCAGAGGTCCTCAAACTTTTTAAACAGGGGGCCAGTTCACTTTCCCTCAGGCTGTTGTGGGGCGGGGGGACTATAGTTTGAAAAAAACATGAACGAATTCCTGTGCACACTGCACATTAAAATTAATTAAAAATAAAATAAATTTAAAAATTAATTAACATTTAAAAATTAATAAAAAATAAAAAATGTTTGCTCCACTTGCTCAGGCTGCAGCAGAAGCCCAAGATGATGCTGCACAGCCCGCCGAAAGGGGAGCCCCACACGAGGGGGAGCCATGAGGGTGTGCTCGCCTCAGCTGAGGCCTTCCTGGCTCCTCGCCGCCGCCCCGCTTCCGAGCCGGAGGAAGGGCCCTCGCAGGCGCGCACCCAGCTCTGGGAGGGGAGCAGGAGACCGGAGAGGCAGGCTTGGGGCGGCTTACCTTACCAGGGAGGTAAGGGCTGCTTTCTGAGGGGAGGCGAGGGGAGGCGAGGGACAGGGCCATCGCTGGCCAAGTGGGGCTGACTGAGCGGGGTGCCTCCTGCCTCTCCCAGACACAGGGGGAAGAAGCATGACAGCTGCTCGACGGCAGCAGTGGCTTGCCCAGAGAAGGCTGTGGCAGAGGTGCAGGAGCCGCAGCCCCTGGGCTCGGTTGCAGCTGCAACCTGGCCTGCAGCCTGGGGACGTGGTTCACATAGTTAAAAATAGATTTAAAAAGTTAAAAAAGGTCTCTCTCTCTTCCACCCTCCTCTCTTCTGTATTCCCGCTCTGTATTCAGAGCCAATGCATACACGCAATAGGGGGGAAGAGCCAGCACTTGCGCAATTCACGCTGGCAAGACCAGCACAGCAGCAGGAGCTAGCCAGAGCTAGCAGAGAGAGCCGGCGCACATGCCATTGAAGGGAGCTGTCTCAATTTGGCGCGTGCACTGGCTCTCTGCTAGTCTCCCAAACTGAAAGAGTTTCAGAGAACGCCTGCGCCAGCTCAGAGCTTTTGGACTTGCTTGGAGATTGTTTTCTCTGAGCGAGTCCAAAAGCTCTGAGGTGGGCTGGGTAAATGACCATGGCGGGCCGTATCCAGTCCGTGGGCCATAGTTTGCAGACCTATGCTATAAAGCATGCTCATGTGTTCTAGTGATAGGAGTCATGCCACATGCATCTCAGTTGGATGGACATGATTTGCTCTCACAGAGTGCCCTTCAGTGCCATTTCTCCCTGAGGATGCAGAACACACATCAAGGAGAGCTACCCCTCCGGGAGCTCTCATGAGAGTGGCAGAGTTCTGATGACAAATTGTGCTTATATTGCAGAGTTCCTGTGACAAAGATGTGATTCTGAATATTCTGGGTGTCCTCACAGATCTTCTTTCTGTTGGTAAGTGGAAATGTGAACATGGAAATACTGGCCTGTTTTGGAGGAAGACACAAACCATAAAGTTAGGAGTGGTCCAGTGGTGCAGTTTGGTCATTTTAGACTCAAAAATCCATGATTTTATGTCATCTCTTTTGGGATGCTAATGTGCATGATTTCACTTGCTTCATATTGTAAGCAATATGGTAAGCCAGTGCATTTGGGGACACACCTGCCCATTCTGCAGAGTAGGGCTCTGCACCTTTGCCCTGAAGTCCTACCATGATAACAACACTGCCTACTTCATCTCCAACTGTACGGACTTGATTGTACTGGGGACTGAAATGGAATCTGGCATCATGAGCTGGGCTTCCTCCCTCCCAGCAGTCACCAGCGACAAGCTGTATCCTGACAAAACTCTCTTATTGTTTCTACATATGAATCATCCAGCTATGTCTCTGAGCATACACAAAGTGCTTAGTGGACTCCAGTCAAGTGATCACTCCCCAAAACATTTGCGTTCGAACCCTCTGGAAGGAGTGCTGTGAAAACGTGCACACCTCCATTCTATATGCTTCACATCCAATTGTGTGTCTTACTTCTGCTACTCCCTACCCATGGAACCCAGCTCAGAAGGGAGCAGGTGGTCCCCATTCAAAGTAACTCCACCCTCACCAGTTGCTCCCAGAGGCTGTATCTCCCTCGTGGTCCCATGTCCTGGCAGCACCTCCTCCATGTCCTGGCTAGCTCTAACCTCATCCACTTCCATGCTCTCCTGTTGGCTTCCAAGACCTTGAACAACCCCCTGCTGCTCAACCCAACAAAATATTCAGTTTCTTCTTCGAAATTTGAATCAGCAAAACTGGTGCAACCAGCATCCTGCAGGAATGCTCGCTCACAACATCTGGCACATGGCAGGAAAGGGGTTTGACATCCCTGATCTCCATGACACAAGCCTTTGAAGAGTGCCGTTGTCCTACGTACACATTGCACTTGCAGATAGTTACCAAGCTTGGTGAGGGGAAAAGGCATGAAGCAGGCTTGAGTTGCTCAAGGTCTGTTTACTGTAGGGTTTCAAGGCTGGTGGGTATGTGTGCAAAGCCACACTTGACTGTCCTTTCACTTGTTTCTGTCTAGGAACGAGCAGGAGGGTCTACTACACTATTAGCAAAGGTGGCAGTGAAGCTCTTCTGCAGGCCCTGGCCAATGTGGCACAAACCACGGCACCAGACTATGACATCCTGCTGCCCCTGTTTCGCCTGATAGCCAAAATTGGCCAGAAAGGTAAAGGCTGTGGAGCTGCATGTATGCACCTTAGTCCTGAGCAGCTGTGTTTTGAGTCCCTCACTGTTTCATCTGGCAAAAATGTGAGGCCCCTAAACAGGGCACTGGAACCATCAGAGACTCCAGATTAGCATTCTGTTGCATTTTAATCCCATGGAGACTTTTTAGCATTTTTTAAAAAAATATATATTAAAAATGCAGCATCATAGCTGGGAACAGGTTGGACTAGGATGATGTGGATAGAACAGCCAACTCTGCTTTGAAAAACAGTGGTGCCCCCTGGGGGTGTTGCCTTCCCTATGTACCTGCCCGCCGCTTGAGATCTGGCTCACAGGTCCTTCTTCAGGAGTCCTCCTTGAAGTTGATTGGGAGGGTGGCTACCTGGAGAAGGGCCTTCTCTGTGGTGTCACCCCAGTTACTGAATACACTCCCCAAAGAGGTTCACCTGGTGCTGACACTTTATTCGTTCTGGTGCCAGGCCAAATCCTGCAAGTAAGAGCAGCTTCAGGGAAGGAAGGGAAGCCAGGACAAGGAGCCTTGGGCTCCTTTCCCTTGGGCTGGAAGATCTACATCGCTGCCCCTCCATGACTGCTATTGATGCTTTTACACATTCACAGTATGACCTGTGGTCTTTCATCAGTTGAAATAACCAAACACAGCACATCCTACACATGTGAACCCAGAGGGAAGTTCCATGTGTTTCAGTGGGGATTATTCTCAATGCTGGGTGCATTGGATAGCTTGTCTTCCAGCCTCACTCAGTCACAGAGTATGTCTTATAAGATGGTGCAGCAACTAAGCAATGCCTACAAAACTCATGCATATATTAAATGTGAGCCGAAGCCAGCATTTCTATGAAGAAGTAGCTGGCATTTTTCATATTTCATATTTAATTAAGCACAGGAATGTCAACTAGGAACCTAACAAAGGGGAAAGGCTTTTCTTTTTAAGTCCTTCATCCTCCACATGTGCCCAAGATGGCTTGGGACTCCAGTGCTTACACTAGAGCAGGGTGTGTAGCCCACAGGTACCCCATGCCCTCTTGTGCAACCCACAAGGTCCCCAGCCACCAGAACCACGAGCCATAATTGCCCCCCCCCACCACACACACTGTATATTCCCACTTCTGAGAGGATGCTCAGAGAACTGGACTTCTGGCTGATGGACTGATTGATGCTCTCTCTGTATTGCCCTTCTGAAGCCAACTGAGATGCTTCATGGACATTTCCAAAAATAAGCCTCAGTCAAGTAAAAACAGTCACACATTAAATGCAACCTTCAAAACCATAAAAACTGAAGCAGCTACATGGCAGAGATGATGGAGCTTTGAGGCAGCACCGTAGGAATTATGCTCCCTTGCAGAAACCTTAAAGGCCTATGAAAGGTTCTCTCAGAAAAGTAAGAAAATAACAGCAGAGTGGGGCCTATGGGTGTCTGGCTGTGTTGGAAATCTGTGTGTAGGTGTGTGAGAGAGCTCTGTGTGTGTGAGTGTATGTGCGTGTGCTCTGTGTTTGAATGTGTGTACTTGCATGCATGTGCAATAAAAATGAAAAAAGGAAAGGAAAAGTCAAGGCCATTTGCTACATCTTTAAAGTAATGGTTGTTTTGGCCTGGACAGTGCTGCAAAGCTGAAGTCACAGATGCAGTAGCACCGGCATGAAGTGTTCTGCCATAAAGCGTGGCTCACTGAATATGCAAGGTCACACCAACTGGCACCACAGAAATTAGATGGGAAACTGGAACCTAAGAAAGGTTCTCTGTGTGAGCCAAACACACACGAGTCCTGGAAAAAGTGTTGGAGGTATTTGAATAGAAAACTGCTATGCAAGATGTGGTGTGTCCCCATATTAGAGAGCGCTGCTTGTTCTGCAGATACCTGGAAGAGGTACTTTCACTGTTGTTTTCTCCTCCTTTGGCTGTTTCTTAGATAAGAAGTTTGGGTTGAAAGCACAGAAGTTGGAGGTGATTGATACCACTCTCAGCTTGGCAAGGAAAAACCTGAATCACCACTGGAATCTCATCCACTGCCTGTGGGCATTGCAAGTTTTCGCCTCTAGTGGTGAGTGTGTCATTTCTTCCTCATCTCCCATGTGGAGTGATCTGCAAGTCATGTGCTCTGCATTCCCAGATCCCTCAGCGGAATGTGCATCGGATTTCCAGTATCTGGGGCAGGTTGGTAGAGGGCAAGAGGAAGAACAGTGACAGAGACAGTGTTGCGTAGTAGTCAAGTGGGCTGGACCAGGGCAGTCCTTACTTGGCCATGAAGCTCCCTGGGTGACTTTGGGCCAACCGCAGACTCTCAGCTTGACATACCTCATATGGCTGTTGTTGTGAGGATAAAATAGAGAGAAAGAGAACCATGTACGCTGACTGGGGCCTCTGGCAAGAGGAGGAAAAGCAGGCTATAAATGCAATGTGATGATAATAATGAGCAATTATCATAAAAGGGTCAGAACTGCTGTGCAAAAGGAATGGGTCCAACTGACCTGTGTCAATGATGTGGGACCATGAAGCAGTTGTGCTCTGAGCATAGGCCAAGCAGCAAAGGAACTGCAGAGTTGAGATAAGGAACACAGTAATGAGGACAATACTGGAATGCTGCTGACAACACTGGGCAGCCTAGAATGCTGTGGAGACCTAGGTAGGACTGAACCAGCACTCCTAAAAGATTTTCCAGATACCATTCTTGTTTGCCATATTTTTGAAAAACAGGGCCATTCTGAAGAATATTGTCCATTAAGAATGAGAGAGCACATCACTTAAACTTTCTCCCTCATTCACATCTCTTAATCTCAGGTTCTTTTTCAGCCAAATGTGAAGAAGTTTGTGAACTTTGGGGCGTTCAGATAAAAATGAACCGAAACAAAATTGGTACCCAATTGCATGGGCCAAACTGAATAGGTAAAGCATGGGAAAGACTGACATTCCTGCCTGTAGTATTGTGTGAAAGATGTAAGAGAAAAAGACTTGGTATTAACATGGTTAAATACACAGGGGTTCAAAACCAGATGTTTAGCACCCTGGGCCCAAATGGATGAACCAGCCAGTTTCAATTTCTCCCACATTCAGTTGTTTTAAATCTTCAGACTTTTTTTTGTCCCAAATATAGAGAGTTTTGCTGATTTGGGTAAATTCTTCTCAAAAGTGAACTAAAACAACATTGCCATCCATCATTCCCTTTGGAATTGATTCTGGCAAAATTTTAAGGCTTACAAGGTCTGTGGATTCCTTAAAACAGTTTCCCACAACTTGTACCACTCACCTGATGCTTGCACTTCAGCTCACATCAACCCCATCCAACCTAGCAAACAATCAGGATGCTGGAAACTGTAAACAAAAAGATGAGAGGAAGGCAGGCTAGGAAGTGGTGGTTGTTGTTGCTAGTCACAAAGCTGAGTCTGACCCATCACAATCCCATGGACAACATTCCTCCAGGCCTTCCTGTCTTCCACCATCCCCTGGAGTCCACTTAAGCTCACACCAACTGCTTCAGTGACTCCATCCAGCCACCTCATTCTCTGCCGTCTCCTTCTCCTTTTGCCGTCAATCTTTCCCAGCATCAGGGTCTTCTTCAGTGAGTCCTTTCTTCTCATTAGGGCTGAATGAAGGCCAATAAACTGAAGTTCAATCCAGACAAGACGGAGGTCCTGTTGGTAGGTGGGCTGGGCTTCGGGATGGGGGACCTGGACCTTGTCCTGAATGGGCTTGCACTCCCACTTAGGGACAGGGTTCGCAGCTTGGGAGTGCTCCTCGACCCAGAGCTGTCATTAGAAGCTCAAGTAACAGCGGTGGCGAGGAGCGCCTTCCTTCAGCTTCAGCTGATCCATCAGCTGCGTCCCTACCTGGAGAACGACTGCCTGGCGACTGACACATGCATTGGTATCTTCCCGATTAGACTTCTGTAATGCGCTCTATGTGGAGCTGCCCTTGAAGACAGTCCAGATACTTCAATTGGTGCAAAATAGAGCTGCCAGGTTGCTGACGGGGACTGGACGTTGTTTTCATATAACCCCAGTTCTCCGTCAGCTTCACTGGCTCCCCATTGAAGTCCAGGTCCAATTCAAGGTGTTGGTTATCACCTATAAAGCCCTCAACGGCTTGGGACCTGGTTATCTAAAGGAGCGCTTGTGTTCATATATGCCCTCCCGCCCCCTGAGATTGGCAGAGGAGGACCTTTTCTAGGAACCCTCCGTGAAGGAAATTGGGAAGGTGAGTTCCCGGAGGAGGGCCTTCTTTGCGGTGGCGCCCCATCTATGAAATGCGCTCCCCAGAGAGGTCCGCCTGGCGCCATCGTTATTTGTTTTTTGGTGCCAGGCCAAGGCCTTTTTATTTAAACGATATTTTAATTGTTAATTGGTTGTTTTATTTAGTGGTTTTAAATTATGGCTGAGATACTCCAAATTTTTAATGTTATTCCATTCTTTATTTATTCTCTTTGTAAGCCACCCTGAGGCTTCTGCGATGGGTGCGGCATAGAAATGTTATAAATAAATAAAGTGGCCAAAGTATTTGAGTTTCATCTTCAGGATCTGGCATTCTAAAGAGCTGTCAGGGTTGATCTCTTCTAAGACTGACTGGTTTGATCTCCTTGCAGCCCAAGGGACTCGCAGGAGTCTTCTCCGGCACTACAATTCAAAGGCCTCAGTTCTTCATCACTCAGCCTTCCTTATGGTCCAGCTTTCACAGCCACACATAGCAATTGGGAAAACCATAGCCTTGACTATATGCACTTTTGCTGGCAGGGTGATGTCTCTGCTTTTTAGTATGCTGTCTAGATTTGCCACAGCTTTCCTCTGTCTGTGGTGATCTTGGAGCCCAGGAAAATAAAATCTGTCACTACCTCCATTTCTTTCCCATCTATTTGCCAGGAAGTGAGAGGACCAGATGCCATAATCTTAGTTTTCCTAATATTGAGTTTCAAGCCAACTTTGCGCTCTCCTCCTTCACCCGCATCAAGAGGCTCTTTAATTCCTCTTCACTTTCTGCCATGAGAGTGGTATCATCTACATATCTGAGGTTGTTGATATTTCTCCCAGCAATCTTAATTCCAACTTGTGATTCATCTAGCCCCACCTTTCTCATGATGTGCTCTGCATATACGTTAAATAGGCAGGGCGACAGTATACAGCCTTGTCAAACTCCTTCTCATTTATGAACCAATCAGTGGGTCCATGTCCAGTTCTCACTGCTGCTTCTTTACCTGAAAATAGGTTTCTCAAGAGAGAAATAAGATGGTCTGGTACTCCCATCTCTTTAAGAACATGCCACTATTTTGTTGTGATCCACACAATCGAAGGCTTTAGTGTAGTCAATGAAGCAGAAGTAGATGTTTTTCTGGAACTCCCTAGCTTTCGCCATGATCCAGCATATGTTGGCAATTTTGAGCATAACTTTGCTAGCATGTGAAATGAGTGCAATATTGCAGCAGTTTGAACATTCTTTGGCATTGCCCTTCTTTGGAATTGGAATGTAGACTGACCTTTTCCAGTCCTGTAGCCACTGCTGAGTTTTCCAGATTTGCTGGCATATTGAGTGTAGCACTTTTACTGCATCGTCTTTTAGGAGCACCATGGAAGCAATTGCCCCAGCAAAGACAATTAAGGCAATGTTGAGTTGCTCAGCACAGTCTGCCTCTCCCAGGCTTCACCCTCATCCCCTAAAAAGTGCACATTCTTAAAAGGCCAACATCCTTGTTTTAAGGGCAGTGCTTCTCCTTTCTGTTGTCTCCCAGTTGTTCATACCCTAAACCATTGTACAGGTGTGATGCAGTGGAATCTGCTTGATTCTTCAAACAAACCAGGCATCTGAAGGCACCTGACCCCTTATCTCAGGTGCAATATTAGGAACCTGGTCCAGTTCCTCAGTCCCACACCATCTTCTTCTGACTCTGAGCTGAAGCTGGGACCACTCAAGGCAGCATCTCTGCATTTCTGAGCCACTTTGGGCCTGATCCATTGGTAATATCTGGGGATCAAGGAGGATGGCCTTGGGTGTCATGCCTCCAGGATGACTCCTCTTTGGAGGTTGACCTGAAACCCTCTGAACCAAACAGTGTGGAAGAGCAAGTGAATCTTGGGTTGTTGTGGGAAAAGGTCACTGATCCTACTGTCAAAATTGAGTTAGGTTGCTTTTAGACTTGAAGAAAGATGCTGAGTATCCACTGAGTCCCAGGCTGGGCAGGCACTGAAATACCTGGGTTCAATGGCTCCAAATGCAGGTGACACCACTTGAGGAAACAGTTTCTTGATAGCAGAGCGGTGCTTGCGAGTGAGACCGGACTCATGAGCAGACCATTCTTCATGGTCTGCAGCCATGATCTGGTGGGACTGTGAGGGCAGAGGCTGGAAAGTCCTCAGCTCTAGGCAGAGTTTTAAAGAAATGGCTGTGCAGAAGCCATTACCTGTATTTCCCCTGCTTATTTGGCTCTCCTCTGGATCCCCTTGTGTTTGGACAGATTGGACTATCTTCAGACCATGTCTGTTGCACTGTCACTTGCCAGTTCCTTTCTGGTCTGTCTCACTGCCCAACCCCCACCCCTGGAAAGCATGGAACATTACTAAAAACATGCAGATATATTGGCAGCACACAGTCCCTTTCCTGTGGCGACACTTCGAAATCCTTGCTGCACTTGCAAGGGCAAGCGAGGCTGGGCATTGGCTGAGGACTTCACTGCTGACAGCTTTCTGGACTTGCTCTTTCTCTATACCGTGGCAACCTAGTCACCTGCCTCTTGCAGTGATCCAGACAGCAGTTGTAACTGGAAGGAGGAACACTTTGATGGCACTGCCTCCCTTCTCACTGGCTCTTGGCCAATCAAGAGAGCAAACAGTAGCAATGTTGAGAAGAAGTTGGGGAGCAATTCCATTTGGCAATGGTGGCGAGAAGGTAGATTCACTGAGGGAGGAGGTGCTTTGAGAATACCTTGCCCAAGAGTCATCAGAAACCTGGAGATCAGTTTCTGTCTTCACCTAGCCATCCTGCCCATCAGTCTGCTATATGGAGAACTTGGCCCTTGATCACCGCTCTTCAAATGGTCCTCTTCTGCAGGGGCATTTATGCAAGTTTTGCTGTGTCCTGACTTTGGCAACAGTTGTTATTTTCCTCTTGACCTCCTTTAACCTAGTTAGTTGCTTTTCTTTGGAGAATTCTAGCTGGACTATTAGCATTTGGCCCTGTTTCACATGCTTGGTATTTTAATCTCCGTCTGAAGATTTAATGCTACTGGCTGCCAGCCCTGTAGGTTTCCTATGCGTGTGAGAGGAGGAACTCAACTGGCTTCATGCTATGGGCCCTTCTGGGCAGGCAGCCAATCCTCCAAGTTCCAGCCCTTTCCTCTGTGATAAGCATTATTTGAAAGGGTGAATGTAACAGAGATGGCAGTTGAAATGCATCTTGATTTATATCATAGGGCACTGTATTTATTCCCGTGGCCTTGAACAGAGAGGGTCTTCCCTCATGCCGTGCGCTCTGTCCGAGCCTGGCCCTTGTGTGCACCAGACAGAGCTGCTAGAATCCTGAATGGTAGGACCAGGTTTAGGGACTGGTGACCACACTGCAGGGCTGGCCCTAGACATTTTGTTGGTGAAGGCAAGGGCAAGATGGAGCTCCTACCTTAATCCAGGGACGGAGGCTGCCTTGCCTAGTATGGCCCAGCTGTTGAATCTGATGTCTTTGCTGGTGATAAGACATTGTTCTCTTCCTCACCTGAAGGCAGCAGACTATTCAAGGAGTGCAGGGCCAGATGCATGGCCCACATAGCATCTCCAACTCAAGGGGACAGGTGGAAGCAGGGGGCTACTGTTCGGACTGCCTTGGATTAAGTGTGCTTGCAATCCACTCATTCTCTTGCTCACATGGAAGTCAGGAGACTTTTCCCTTCCAAATATCTGCAAAGTTCTCCCCGCCACCTGTGTTGGAAAAGAGTTTTGATGGAAGAGTGCTGGGCTCCCGACTGATCCTAGCCCTTGGGTCTTGGCAGCTTTCTCAGGGTACTGCCTGCTGACTCTGCGCCTGTTTCTCAAGACCCAGGTGGAAAACTACAAGGCAGAGTACAGTGCCTCATGGGGGAGCCCTCTTATTGTCTTACAGATTTCTTCCACTATGTAAGATAAAAATTCTGAGAGTCTAACAGTTTGCCAACAATCCCAGAGGCCCACTTGTGTTATCATTCCAAAGCTTACCACTGTCTTTCCTCACCTCCCTTGTTCTGAACCTGAGTGCCTCTATCTCTCATTCCTGCAGTTACAGTGGGAACCATGTTGGGCATTAATGGAGCCATGGAGCTGCTTTTCAAAGTAATCACACCCTACAGCAGGAAACACACCAGAACAACAAGGTAGGCTGGTGCTCAGAGGGGGTCTTCTCCGGTCTTGTGGGGATGGCAAAAAAGGCCAAGGAGCAAAGTGGCTTGTCTAGGCCTGGAGTGGATTGGAATGCATGGGTCCTTTACATTCAGGCCCCAGTCCAAATTAAATAAAGGCATCTGCCTATGCATGCATAAAAGAAAGAGGAATTCACCTTAATTTACTGATGTTGGTCCAGCGAGTTCAGTTTTGTCTGGGGTTTATATTGGGGGTTTCAGTGTCCTTTGTGAAGATGTTGTTGTCTGAACCTGAGACCTATGACATGCAGATGATCTCCTCTACCACTGGGCTAAGGCCCTTCTCTTAAATATAATGCAAAGTATCATCATTTGAAGCTGACAGCAGAGGTTCAACTCAGGTTTGAGTGGAAGGATGGTGCTCGACGAGAAACCCCTAGGCTGTCTCTCTGCTTGACCCCCAGCCAATCTATCAACTTGCCTAGCTTACTAATGACAAACCCCTCTACAAACCCAACTCAGATAATGTTCTGCTTCACAGGATGGCCACATGCCCAAAATTGTGGCAGGCACTCCTCTGTTTGAAACATGGCAAGAGGACCTCCCTTGGTTTGAAGGAAGGCCCTCTTCCCTGAATATCTGAACTATATCTGAACTGGTCCAAGCCCAATTTAAGGATAAAGATGGAGAGCGGGCCTTCAGGTTGACTGTTGCAATAAGTCCCTGGACAGCGGACTGAGCAGGCATCTGGGCTATGTGGCCACATCCCCTCTCCCCATGAGAATTTCAGAGAAACTGTGGGAGAAATTAGTGGCTGAGATTTGCAGAGAACCATTTGCAGTTGTATGTATTGTACCTTGGAAATGTACGTATTCATCTTGGCAGTCCCTTTCCTGAAGGCTGAGAAATGGGAATGGATGAAACTGTCTGTTTCTAGTAGACATCACTCTTTCCATGTTTTCACCTCATAATTCCATCCCTTTACTGAATGATCTTGTGATTCATTTCTAGAAGGCATTGAAAATGGAATTTCAGTGCATATGTTCATTGAAACACATTCTTAAAATATGTATTTAATGGAGTATTTTATACCATTGAAGCAATAGAATTTCAGTATCTGCAGAAATCTAAAATTTTGTGAGTAACTGATCGATTTTTATTGAGATGTTAGTTTGAGAGATGCAGGTCAGCTCTTTCCTTAGAAGAAATTGGAAAGATTGAATTCCCCAGGCACTCTAGACAAATCATCTGATGTCTATCTGGCCTCCACAGGCTCATACAGATCTATGACTCCAGTCTATTCTAGTTTAGTCTCAGCCTTCAGGGTGACAATGGCACCACTGTGAACCATGTAGCCTGAAAGGGGCATGACAGGTTGACCAACTTTGGAATTTTCCCTCCATTTTCCGGATAGTGCTCTGGAAGGCAAGAAACTGAGCTTCCAATGGATGGCCAGGCAGAGCTGGTGCCTTCTAAGAGAAAGGGTGATCCACTTGTGGAACGAGTGCCTTGGAAATGCCTATAGGAAGCATGTCAGTTCGCAGTCCTAAACATGCTGAGACAGAAAAAGCTTGGGAACTGGGAGCTGTAGGACTTTATTCTGTCTGAACATGCTCTGGGTTGCATCTTAAGACATGTTCTGGTAGGGAGGCGGGGAATTAACTGCAGCATTGCGCTTCCACTTGGGTCATGTTTTCTTTGGTTGACACTTCATGATGATTTAAACCATAGTTTTACATTAACCATGTTAGCCTTTTTTTAAACAGCAAACACGTAAGCAACTGTGTGGGAGGAAAGGATGGACCTGTCCATATTGAATTCTCTCAGTTTCATGTTTTTCTAATTAAGTTTATTTTTGTCTTGACAGTTTGACAGTTTCTGAACTTGGACAATTTCTCCAGTCTTAAGTTCAGTTCCTCCTGCAATTTGAAAATTGTTTTTCTAGTTGCCCAAATCTTCATAAACATCTTGGTGCATGTTTCTCCTTAAACATGCATTCTTGTCTAATATGCACATTCGTGCAAGCAGCTTTCCTCATGTAATGCATTGTTGAATGTTTTCTTCCCCAATTTATACATGCTTACATTCATAATTGCATGGTTCTACTGCAAAATTGAGAGAAGAGCACTTTTTGAAGGCCAATTGAGTTTTGTTGTTCAGAAGTGCAAAATTAGATGTGAATTTCTTGATTTCTTTGGAAGTCATAAGGGTAGAAAGCTGGGGTCTACATATTTTGAATAGCTAACTGAATTCTGTACAATCTATTGCACACAGACTACACATAAAAAGTCAAACTGATTTAGCATTTCTGAGGCCATAGTAGGTACAATCCTAATTTTGGCAGATGCAACCTGGCTGGCCATAGGAAAAGATGGAGTCCTCACTGGGAATCCAGAAACATCTCCTAGGGTGGCAGCAGGGATTCTGCCCTAGGAAAGCCCCTTCCCCCCTCTCTTCTGTGGCTTTTCCCACCCTGGCTGAGCACCCACAGGCAGAACACTATCTCTGGGGTAGGGACTGTCTGGGTGTTCTGGAGATCAGGGAGAAGAAGGGCAAGTTATTGCTGGCTTCTGCAAAATCTAGGTAGGGGCACCTCAGCCCCTCCTCCTTGGGAGGTGGGGGAAATTGGCCATCGAAATGTGTGGAGGGCAAGGACAGTGTGCAGGCAGGACTTGCCTCTGTGCCCCCCCCCCCCACACTTGATTTTGGAAGGCCACATAGGAGGGGCCTTCCACACCCTGAGGTATAGAATCTTGAAAACTTGTGCCGTTCTTTATGTACATAAGTATCAACAAAGTTACACTATATTTAAATTTTAAAAATCAGGCCACCACTGAGTGTCCATTCCACATGTAAGGAAGTCTTTGCCACAGTGCCTGCGAATCAGTCTCCCCTGACTACCCTCCCTACGAGAAATTCCCATTGCATCATGGGAAAGCTAAAATGGCATCTGGAAGGCTGCCAAGGTGAGGTCTGTGTTTCTTCTGGGACTGATGTGGTGGTTGAAAACCTATCTGGATTGCAGAGAGGTCACTCACACCTGACATTGGATTTCTTTAAAAAAAGAAATATCCACAGATAAGCAAGGGAGTCCCAAAATGGGCATTGGGGTTGTCCTGGGCACTGGTGTTCTGGTGCATGCCTGAGAGTGCTGGACATTGGACTCAGTACTTTCACCATAGGAAACACTGCATTATCTTGGGAATGGTAGCTGGATCCAGCCTGCAGGCTATTGATGAGCCATTCCTTGCTTAGGAGAAGTTACCAGACTTTTCCCACTAGCTGACACCAAACTTATGATGCAGAAAGCAGCTTTGCGGATGAATCTTCCTACAAAGCCTCAAGGGTCAAACAGACACAGTGTTTATTTTTGAGTGCACTCAATGCCTGCCCATCCTTCCAAGACCAAGAGCTGCCCTGGATCTCTGATGTGAGGCTAAAATTAGCCACGCAGTTCCCTCCTCCAGTTCTGTCCCTGGTCGGTTCTCAAAGAGAGATTTACAAGGCGTGCATGCTTTATAGATGAGAAGGGGCACGTGTGTTCAGAGCACTCCAGCTCTGCCTGCTTCTCTTGCTTCCACAGCTCTGGTGAGGCAGCGAGCAAGGGGAGAGACAAGCAGAGAAATGTCAAAGCCCCAGACATGGCTGGGGTGGCAGCAGCAGAGTCAAAAGTGCAGCTGCTCCAAGGAGATAGAGCTACTGAGCACTAAAGGTGGTTATTGAGGTAATAAAGTGGCGGCAAGCTTGCTCACAACTTATTGGCTGTATGGTTAGTGTTGCCCTACTGCAGGGGAAAGGACTCTGGTGCCCTTCCAATATTTTGGATCACCTATGCCATCAGCCTCAGTCAGCTTGGCCAATGGTCAGGAATTATGGGAGGTGTTGTCTGAAACACCTGGAGGGCCCAGGTTGTTCTGTTGTCTATGTCAGTGTCCTATCATAAGTGGGATCTGAGGTGGTTTGACTGTGATCCATAAAAGCACCAGATCAATAGAAACCACAGAGAAGACGAAACAGCGCACCACTGCAGGAGCAACAGCATTCCAGCAATCCATAAACCGTACCAAGAATACCAATCACGCAGGCAGGCATAGCTAGGTCAGGCCCAAGCAACATGTGATTTCTTTATAGTCCATCATCCCTCCAAGGAGTTCAAGATGGCATTTGTGTTTCTGCATTCTCTATTCTTACAATGTCCTTGTGGGTCAGGTTTTCCTGAAAGAGTTTTATGGATTGATTTGCTCCACATGCATCCCAGACTCTCAACTACCAGGGCTCCTAGGTTGGGAAACCCTATTTTGGTTCTGCACCACTCCCCTGAATTTCCTGGGGGAGGGAAGAGGGAAGAGGTATGGGGACAAAAGTGCAATGGATAAGGCCTCACTGCTCCCTGGCCATTTCTTGCTCTCCATCTGCTAATGTGGCCGGCAAACAGTTCATGAACTAAAGATGCTAACTGGGTTCAACAGATGTGCAGCTTCCTGCAGCTGTCTTTTCAGCAAGGAGAGAGCAGCATCCTTCTCTTGGCTTGTCAAGAGATTGAAGATACTGTGACCACTGGAGAGCCATTGTAGTGTAACTGTAGTTACAGTGCTAGGCTTTTAGGATCTCAACCTCAAATCCCTTGCTAAGCATCCCCAGTAATGAACTATTCTAACACTATGCATTAAGGTGATTGTGTCTGCTTTCAACTCATGTATTACCTTGGTCAGAAGTCAAGATGTTCACTTTACTTGAGACCTCTGGTCTCAAGACCATTTTTCACATTATAACTTAAATTAATGAACACATCATTTCCACATCCATCTTCTTTTCCTCATTGTTTCAAAGTCTAGGAGAGTTTTGCCAGCATGATATAAATTTGCTTTATCTCCATTTGATATGTATTGACTTAATCTTAAGAAACAAATCCTAGACTTTAGAAAACTATCTTTCCAATGAGCAAGCTATAGTAGAAATGCTTCCAGCTCGGAGCCAACATATGCTGCACTTGATGTATTTAATTATTGCAAATT